GGGACTGGACATTGGTTGCTCTGAAGCAACTGGGCAGGGACAAGGGGGTCCCTAGTGCTTGTGCTGCACGGATGGCAGCCAAGACCCTGGGGGAGGAGGCGGTGAGCAGAGCATGGGGCGCGGCGGGCGCCCCCCGCGAGGTGCAGGGAGAGTCGGGCGCCAAGGCGGGGAGGAGGGGCAGGGTGGGGGCCGTGCTCAGCGCTGTGCCCGCCGGCCCCGCGATGGCAGCGCCTTCCGATTTGCTGGAGGACACAACCAGGGAGGGGACCACCAGGGACGCTGGGGACGCCGTCGTCGAGGTCTTGAAGATTTTGGAAAAGAGAGACTCGAGGTCCAACACGGCGACCTTCAGGGCCCAGACTTGGAAATGCTGTCCTCGCTGCTGCGGGAACCTCAAGACCACGGGGAGCCGGGCTTCGGGGCTCCATCCACCCCTGCTCAGAAGGATCCGGAGGAGGTGGCCCTGGGCAGGGCAGGAATCCTGGGGTTCCCATCTGCCCGGGTCCCCCCAGGGGGTCTCTAGTGCGCTCCGCACCCAGAGGACCATCTCCAGGCGCTCAGCCCGAAAGCGCTGGAGACCACCTTTCTGAAGCCCGGTGGCTGAGGCTGTAGGGGCAGCGGCACCCTCTGTCCCTCTCTGTCCTGGTGCCCTGAGACCCTGAGCCCCCAGGTGCACAGCTGCCAGCGCCCCCGCGGGCTGGGGGTGCAGATGGGGCCTCCGGTGCTGGTGCCAGGGTTTCTTTCCCCATGGGCCTCCAGGACACATGGGTGGTTGCTAAGCTAAACAAAACCCTGCCTAGCTCCCTGCTTATTGAGTCCTGACTGTAGCTCCTACAGCTCAGGGCTATGTCCACAACAGGTACCTGCTGCAACCAAGGATTCAGGATCTGGAGGAGGGGCTGTGACATAAATGGATACACTAGGCAAGAAATATAAATTTAGAAGACATGGGGAACCAGGAGGAGGCCTTTCTCTAGGAAATGACTCCCTGAATGTCTGGACCCATTGCTTTTTATTTACTAGAATATACATTTGCCCTTTAGCAAAGCAAACAGACATTAATGGTAATGTTTGGCAAACAAGAAAGGATTATTAGCTTTATGGGATTGCCTTCAGCCATTCAGCCAACAGCAGGTAATAATATGCTGATTCGCAGTCTTTGCTCAATATCAGAGTCCATCAGCCTTCTGGCAGACTTCTCAAATCTACAAGCTAAACCACTTTTTGGTCTTTGCCTCTACCAGGGTCCCCTCCTGGATACCTGCCTTAAAGGAACACTGTCCAATTTCTCCATCACCCTTTGAGCTTCACCTGACTGGCCAGGCTCTGGGCTGAGGGTGAGGAATTTGAACAGAGGGAGATAACCCTGGTTCCAAAAGAGCTGGAACTTATTTAGTCTAACAAAACCAACTGTGCCAGGGCAGGGGGCAGCCAGCTCTCTGGCAGCAGGGAAGGCTGATAAACAAACAAACAAACAAACAAACAAACCCCAAACACCTGTATTCAGGTGAGGGGACTTGAAACAGCAGTACCCACTCCTCCCCACCCCCCTTCAAGGCCAGGTTCAAACTGTGCCACTAAAAATGACACAGCGGGTGCCTCACCCAAGAACTTGTGAATAAGATGGGGCCCTGACAGCTGAACTAGTAACATCCACATACAGTGTATGTGGCTAAAACCCATCCAAGTGGACCAAGAGACTTAACAACTACAATGTTTCAGAACCCGAACTATAATAAAATCTATTCCATACAAACTCCAAGGCAGATATGAGAGGTAAGAGCTTATTATTAAGGGGAATACATTTTGTTTTGCTAAATCTGAGGACTTTTTTGTGAAAGATAGAGTGTGTGAGTGTGATGATCCACAAAAGTGTGGGGTCAGTTCTGAGCGAGATTACAAAATAAGATATTGACAGGGCTTATCCATTAATGTTCAGGAGATACATTTTCTGATTTGGGGCAGGGAAAGGAAATGAATAAATTAACTGACATTCATGAGTATATACTTTAGTCGTGTGGCTAGTTACCAAACAGGATTCTGAGCCACAGTTAATTTCCATTGGTAATGCCAAGTTTTGTATTTCCTTGTAGAGACCTAACCAACCTTCTACCTATGACATCTACATTCTGTCAGGATCCCTTTTCTCAATCCAACCCCCACAAGCAAGCATGTCTTGGACGCTTTTCTACTTCAAGGATCTAAGCACTGAGATGTAAGAGAAGGGATGTTCTCTTCCCACAGTGAGGAATAATCTGCTTCCTATCACACTAGGTGTCAGGTGAGGGCCCCAGGGCACAAGCACAGTGGATAGGGATAGCGGCCACCCCACTCAGCACTAACTGGGGGAAAGAACACTCGTGTGCTTCTGGGAGATGAGAAGCGAGGCTGATAAGGCTAGCCAGGGCCTTGGATGTTGGAAGAGGGAAGAGCACACAGTTGCCAGCGTGCAACACACCAGCACACTGTGAAGAGCAAAACGAAGAAAACATCCGATAACAGCGAGGGAAACTAGAGGCAGAAGTCTCAGGGTCAGAGCAGGAAAGCTGGGCTAACTTTGTCATGATGCAAGGACACCAGAACCTTCCATGTTTCTCATATTTTCATTGTTCCTCTTCCCAAGGAACCAATCAGGTAGTCGTAGAGGGGTATGAAGTCAGAACATTGGACTATTTTCATAGAGTACTCATTCAGGATTGCAAAGATGTGTCGTAAAGAGTGTTGTTTCTTTCATAGAATAATTAAATCCTCAATACATTAGGTTACTCTCAATGCAAGAGGTATCACTTCTAGAATATGCACTTTCAGTGTTTAAACTGCTAATTATCTGATTGATTCTGGGCTCTTACAGCTGACCAGCCTCTCCTGATGGAGCCCCACTAACCTGATTCATAAAATCCTCAGTGCTGTCTTTATCAGCCACAAATTGCCTCTTTGTCATCCATGAATTGCCTTCAAAATAAAGATACAATTTCTTAAACTGGGAGTCAAGATCATTCAAGCTGGCACCATGCTACTTGTGAACATTGTCTTGTCCTGGTCACCCTGACCCACCCTGTGCTCCAAGCAGGGGTCCCCTACACACTTTCTTCAATCCATCATACCCTTCTCTGCTCTGGAGCACTTCCTGCTCATGTTGGCTGCCTGAAGCACTCCGCCCTCCCCCTTCTCCACTTCTTGAGGGTAGTGGTTGGAGCACAGGGTGGCTCAGGGTGACCAGGACAAGAAAATGTTCACAAGTAGCATGGCGCCAGCTTGAATGATCTTGACTCCCAGTCTAAGAAATTGTATCTTTATTTTGAAGGCAATTCACTGTGTCCTAAAGACTGTTTCTTTCATAAGGATCTTGCTTTTAATTCATAGAATAGTTAAATCCTCAGTACATTAGGTTAATCTCAATGCAAGTAGAATCATTTCTAGAATATACACTTTCAGTGTGTAAACTGCTAATTATCGGATTGGTTCTGGGCTCTTATAGCTAACCAGCCTCTCAGGGTGGAGCCCCACTAACCTGATTCATAAAATCCTCAGTGCTCTCTTTGTCATCCATGAATTGCCTTCAAAATAAAGATACAATTTCTTAAACTGGGAGTCAAGATCATTCAAGCTGGCACCATGCTACTTGTGAACATTGTCTTGTCCTGGTCACCCTGACCCACCCTGTGCTCCAAGCAGGGGGCCCCTCCACACTTTCTT